CTGTAGTCTTCCTTCTATTAAAACTCATACAAATCTAGGGCCCCCCCTAATGTTTTAAATCAACTTTCAATTGTAGGCCCAAAACCATAAATTTCCGGGGGGCGGCAGATTTAATATTAGGGGAGGCTTTAATAATAGTGGGAAGCGATTATTGAGGAGGGTCTGGATCTTCAGGCCCCTTAGGGTTTAGGGTTTAGGGTTTAGGGTTTAGGGTTTAGGGTTTAGATGAACCCTAGATTTCTTGAACCCTGAACGAAGCCCTAAACCCTCGACCGATAAAGCCCTAAACCATAAAACCCTTTCGCCAACCTAGTAACCGCTACCCCTAGGCCCCATAGTCGTTCCTTTTTGTGGCTTATATTCAGGATCCTACTAGGTTACTAGGTAATCCCGAAAAGGAACTTCTATGGGGCCTAGGGGTAAAGTAAGCCCATGCTTCGTTACAGTAGGGAGCCGAAAAGGATCCTCTCCAGCCGACTTGCAGCTTGCTGGGTGCGTAGGGAACCTTTCTAATTATACCCTAACCCTCCAGGTACCTACTATTCAGGGCCCTAGTAGGGGCTCTAGTACCCTCTATAGTAGGTACCTGGAAGGTTAGGGTATAAACCCGTATACAACCCCTATAGAACACTTGAGAAACCCGCTTGCACCGTAGCCCTAAACCCTAAACACTAAACCCTAAACCCTCAACCCCCTAACGGATCAGACTTCGCCGAGTTGCAGCTTGCTGGGATTGTGCTGCTGATAGATCTTGATCATCCGCTCCCTGTACGCCTGTTTTGGAAACTGTTATACATGTAACATTACATAACTGTTTACCTTAACCCTCCAGGTACCTACTTTACAGGGCCCTAGGGGCTCTAGTTCCCTCTATAGTAGGTACCTGGAGGGTTAGGGCTCGGCTTCTGCATTAGGGTTCAGGGCCTGAGGTGCAGGAACCTCCCTTCGGGGCTTGCGGCTTAGGGTCAGCCTCATGGCTCAAGTTAGCAGGTTTAGGGTTTAGGGTTTAGGGTTTAGGGTTTAGGGTTTGCATGTAGGGAGCTTGGGTGCAGGTTTGTGGCTTAAAGTTTGAAGTCTATGGTGAAACATAACTGGGCTTCTGAGCGTGGCGGCTTACGGCTTGCCACAAGGGGTTAAGGCAGCCAATAATTAAGATTTTGGGTTTAGGATACCAGTGTGCAGGTTGATGTTTGGTGGCATACAGATGAACTTGGCAACGAGACCCTTATGTGTAGGCTCTGCCAGTGTTCCAGTACCCAGCCTAAACCCTAAACCCTAAACCATCTCGTGGAATGTGCGGTTTATCTCCTTTTGCTCAGTTGAAGGGGGGGACAAAGATCAAGAAGAGGAGTGCTGAACTCTCTGGCCCAAGAAAGAGAAGCCCGAAGGCCGGTTTAGGGTGTAGGGTGTAACAGTGTATACGGTTCAGGGTTGATAGGGGTTACCCAAAGGGTCCTCTCTACCTAGATAGTATAGAATGTAGGGTTTCTATAGTAGGGATTACTATTGAGATTTAGGGGAAGTACCCCTCATAACAGTACAAAGGACACTTTGGGGGTAGGGAAGTCCAGGGTTTGGGGTTTAGCTACATGAGTCTATCAATCTCCAAGCAAGCAACCCCCAAAAACGTTAGCGTTCAGGGTTTAGGGTTTATAGGGTTCAGGAAGCTTAGGGTTTAGGGTTTAGGCTAGGCAGTGCGCACTAATCAACCCAGTCCCTGAACACCGACCACATTCCCCCTGCAACCCCGCAGCCAAACCCTGAACCCTAAACCCTAAATCCTAAACCCTAAACCGCAATTCGTCCGAAGCCCCCAGCTCCAAAACCACAGAACCTCATTAACTAGCACACCCCAAACCACGCTCTATCTACACCGCAACCCCGCGCACAGTGACCGAATGCGCACACGCCGGACATCTGCCTCGCGAATCTCGGCTGGTGCACCTCGGCATCTTCCAGGGTTTTCAAGTTTATGCACGAGGATTTGGGTTCAGAGCTGGTCGGGGGTTGAAACCTCGGGCTTTCAGTCTTTGTCGGATGCCTTTGGGCTTTTGACCTTTCCGGTCGACGGGCAGAGTCGGCTGCGAAGTAGAGAATGTGCAGTGACAGCTCTACAGGGACCTAAGGCAGCCACATCTGAATCGCAAAATCCTAGATCCTGAACTCCACCCGGACCAGCCCCAAGAACAAAATTCCTTCTTGAGAAGCTTGGCATGGTATAGGAACTATTGGAAGAGGTGTTGGAGAGCTCAGGCAGGCCAAGAAACTACAGTAAGTTCTTTTTGAGTATATGAGTCAAAAACAATACAGGCTATCCAATGCTGCAAGGTCCGGTTTAAAAAAACGGATCGAAATCGTTATGTCGCATCCTGGTACGAAAAGCTGGTCCAACCCGCCGGCTACTGTTTGGTGGCTTTTTGGGTGCAGCCCCTAAACCCTAAACCCTAAACCGCAGTAATAACCAAAGCAAACCCCGGCACCTGCGGTTGCCCCAGCAGCGGCTTCGGCAGTGGCTTTGCCTGAAGGACTCCCTTGAGCTAGGGTCCCACATATTTCATCTGGGTTCATAATAAGAACCGACATAAGTTTAGTGCTACTCCTAAACCTTCATCTAAGACCTCCGTAAAACCTGTTTCACTATAGATCTGTAGAATCCTGTCTCGAGATTCTGAAACTGTCTTGTCTAACTCAGATGGAGTTTAAGGGTTCCGGCTTGCGGATTTGGGGTAAGGGTTTCGCATTTTGGGTTTGGATTCAGGGTTGAGGTTAGCGTGTTGGAGGTCAAACAACACTTAGGGGCTGAGTACGCTAGCCCAAAAAAGATTAACCTTTCGAATTCTAGTAGGATCATATAAGCCCCAAAAGGTTAAAGGTTACCTACTCAGCCCCTGAGAACATAAACAGTAGACTGAAATCCCTAATTGAAGTTGCCTGGACGCAGAGTCATGCTGTGCCCTTCGAACCCAGCGATCCCTCGTGCAATACTCGGTGCCACTACTGCGGCACCTTAAGAATCGGTTTAGGGCTTAGGGTTTAGGGTTAAGAATAAAGCCTTCCACCCGAGTAACCTGTGGTCACGGTTGAGCGTTCATCTTTGGTCAGTTCAGGCGGCTGCAGCGATAACAGACTCTTGCGCCGCCAGAAACCGGTTTAGGTTTTAGGGTTTAGGGTTTAGGGTGTAGGGTTTAGGGTCGCCCGGCAGGCTTAGGCTTGGTGCAGCAGAACTGCCACATGCGAGTCGGAGCTTGAAACCCTGTGTGCACATTCTTGCTTCTGAGTTCCCTTTCAGGGCTTTAATGAGCCCTGTATCAATATACTACAAGGAATGTGCTGAATCTTGGTGCTTACCTGATGATCATTCAGGCTCCGAGGTAAACGGTACCTGATACAGTTAAGTCTGATACGTAGACGGAGCCGACCTTAAGGCCGTCTGGCAGCCCCAAACCCTACTCTAGAGTAGGCTGTGACCACATAGTTTCAGAGTCCAGCCCTTGAGGCAGTAAGTTAAGGACCCAAACAGAGAAACCCAAACAACTCGAACAGAACCCTCAACCCTAAACCCTGAATACTAAACCCTGAACCCTGAACCCTAAACCCCCAAACCAAAACATCCTAAAAGCCCTGAGCCCCAAACTCTCTCGGCACAACCTCTAAACCCTATGAATCCTAGACTCCCTAGGAGTTGACGCTAAAAGTAACCCTCAACTACACTAACACCCTAAACCCTAAACCCTAAACCCTAAACCCTAAACCCTAAACCCTAAACCCTAAACCCTAAACTATAGTAACCCTACTTATAGCAACCCTTAAGGGTTACTGTAAGGCTAACTACTAAATTGCCACGCATGGTGGAGGACTGAGGCTGTGCCTTCACTACCTCTTCACAACTTGAACAGCTAAGGGCTCCTTCTTAAAGGTTGCTAGAAGTAGGGCGACTCTATGGGTGTGAGTAAGGGTTCCTTTAAGGGGCTACTATACATAGGTAGTGTTACTATAAGGTTAGAAGTAGGGCTACTCTATGGGTGTGAATAAGGGCTCCTTTAAGGGCTACTATACCCTAAACCCTAAACCTCAAGGGTTCCTGCCTCGGGATCCCTTTAAAGAATCCCTTTGCGGAAACCCCCGACATAAGGGCGACGGATCGAAACAAAGACGTCGTGCCTCGCCACTTCGATCCGGGTCTCGAAATCTAGGGTAAGATAGAGGCTTTAATCGTTTGTTAATTAGAATAGGGTTTGGGGGGGTGTAGTATACTAGACGTATAATACGGAGCCCTGAACCTAAGCTCCAAACCCTAAACCCTCAACCCTGAACCCCAAGCCCAAGGCCCCAAACCCTAAACCCAAAGCCCCAAACCCTAAACCCTGAACCCTAAACCCCGAACCCCAAACCCCTGAACCCCAAACCCCTGAACCCCAAACCCCTAGACCCTAAACCCAGAACCCCAAACCCCTATAGACCCCAAACCCTGAACCCTGAACCCCCAACCCCTATAGACCCCAAACCCTGCCGATCCTCCTTCGACCCCTGCCGCCGGCGCGACACCCGCGCTGAACCTCGAAGATGCCACGGCGGCTTGTTGCGTAAAGCATTTAGGGTTTAGGGTTTGGGGCTTTTGGTTTAGGGTTTAGGGATAAGGGTTTAAGGTTTAGGGTTGTGGGGTTTAGGGTTTTAGGGTTTAGGGTTTTAGGGTTAAGGTTTTAGGGTTTAGGGTTTAGGGTTCCGTATTATGATTTCCTGAGTAAGGTAGTTCTCTAGAATAGGGTCCCTTTTTTAAAGTCGTCTTATGTTCCCGAAATAGTGCGGCACTCGTATAAACAGGACCCTAAAAGGGACCCCAGGTTAGAGAACTACCCATTGGGGCTTACCTGGACCTTAAAGAACCTACTGTTTTAGGACTGATTATGACTGCCTGAGATCAGTCCTTAAACAAGTAGGTGCATTACCTATAGTCTCCATAGTAGTTCCTTGTGGGGTTACGTTATAGGATCCTGGGTATATGGAGACTGGAGGTAGGGTCTAAGTAGGGTAGGGGACTGGGGGGCTGGGGTTAGGGTTGAGGGTTTACGGGGTAGGCGTGGGGCTTGGGGTTTAGGGTCTACACATAGGCCCCATAGTAGCTCCTTTTTGTGGCTTATATTTAGGATCCTATTAGGTAATCCCAAAAAGGAACTACTATGGGGCCGAGGGGTAGGTTAGGGTTGTGTCGGGCTTAGGATTGAGGGAAGCAGTGTAGGGCTGGAGCATTCGGCCCGCTGGTGTGGAGTCCAGCTTCAGTGTTTGGGGTTGCAGTCGAGCCCGCAGACTTTAGTGCTTCGGGTTTAGGGTTTAGGGGCTTATTGTGTGTGTGTGTGTGTGGGTGTAGGGATTTGGAAAATAGTTCACAGGGTTTGAAGGTGTTGGGTTCCAGGTCCATGTGATTTCGGACTTAGCAGCCTTGGTGTTGGTGTTTTCAGGCTTTACATGGCTTTACCAACAGCAGCACTTAGAGTCAGAGGATCAGGGAACTAGCAAAGTAGGTCATAAATAAGGTATGAATAAGGTATACTCTTCGTTAGGGTACCTAGACATCTACTTATCAGGCCAACAAAGGAACTATTCTGCAGAGTGCTGCAGCACTCTGGTGCTTTCTGTCGAGGCTTTTGGAGCGGAGGTCCGAGGCCCTGCCCGGCCCATCGCCCTGATGCCTGTTCTTTTAGGGTTTTGGGGTTTAGGGTTTAAGGTTTTGGGGTTTAGGGTTTTGGGGTTTTGGGGTTTAGTGTTTAAGGTTTTGGGGTTTAGGGTCTTGGGGTTTTGGGGTTTAGGGTTTAGGGTTTTGGGTTCCTACACGCGCGCGTGGGGTCCCAAACACGGGCGCGACGTCCGAGCATGTCGAATGCCTTCAAGTGTTTGCCCGGCTTCTCCTACCCCAAACCCTAAACCCTAAACCCTAAACCCCAAACCCTAAACCCCAAACCCTAAACCCTAAACCCTAAACCCCAAACCCTAAACCCTTCTCCTCGAACGTCTTTTTGGGCACCGAAGGCCGTTGCGTCTCCGAGCATCCTATAAGCTTAGTAGGGCTTACCCTAACCCTCCATGTACCTACAAATTTAGGGCCCTAGGGGTTTAGGGTTTAGGGTTTAGGGTTTAGGGTTTAGGGTTTAGGGTTACCTACTATTTAGGGCCCTAGGGGCTCTAGTACCATTCATAGTAGGTACCTGGAAGGCTGGGGTTAGGGTTTCGGGCTTCCATAACTCAGCTTGCCTTCAGACCGCCAGGGTCCATGTACTCATTAAGTATACGGTTTAGGGTTTAGGGTTTAGGGTTTAGGACTTGGGCCTGAAAGTGGTGCGTGCATAGGTCTTTCGGGGCCAACTGACATACGAATTCGGCACTAGGGAATCCTACACTACAGGGTTCTCGGCTACTACTGGGTTCTACGAGCTGCACAGTTTCTTCAGGGTGGAAGGAACCGTACCCCACTATGTAGGTACCTGAGCTTCGAGAATAAGGTCTTCAAGCCCCGGATGTTTAGGGTTTAGGGTTGTTATAGGAGTTCCACCGACAGGACCCCCAAGTAGCCCTCAATAGAGCCCTTCGGGTCCCATCAGCGGCGGGTGTTAGGCAAAACGCAGGCACAAACTAATCGCATGCGGATGAAGGCCAAAGTGAACCCGGTTTCGCCGACCCCTTGCCCGACATTTTGCTTGCACCCAGAACAACCCTAAAACCCCAAAACCCTGCAGCCGGAGCACAGTGAGGATCCCAAAGAGCTGCCGAGAAGGCCCCCAGCAGCCCCATCTGCAGGAGGCGCCTCTAGACGTTCCCTAGGGGTTTATAGGGTTTAGGGTTTCGGGGTCTTTGGGCAGAAAACAACCGTATAATATGTTAGTATGAGTCATTAGCGCCCGAGGGGTTCGCAAAGGCAGTTTTCTAAGTCGGCTTTAAGGTTGAGGGTTATGGCTTCAGGGGCTGTAACTACCTGGGCCGGGATATAAGCATTGCAAAGCTGTGGTCGTTACCTCATTTGTGACAGATCCTGCGATCCTTGACATAGGCCAAGGTTTGGGTAATATCCTTGTCTATCAGGGTAGCACCTAAGACCCAACTTTATCTAGGGCTTATGCCTGTGACTTGCGGTACATATTCCTAAAGGGCTGTTGGGTTCTCTCAGATTCCAGACTGGGGTTAGTAAAGCCAGAAGAACAACTGCACGCTTCTCATTAACAAGTTACCCAGGCAGCTCAACACAAAACAAAGACATATCATGTACTGAATTGAGGAGTCATGGGCTCTATCTATAGGCACACAAAACCACTGACAGAAACCCCTGTGAAAGCTCCTGAGTTCGCTAATGTAAGGGCCTTAATGGTTAGAATAGGGTTTTGCGGCCCATTATGCTATACTTATAATAAGGAACCCCCAAAATAGTATTGGTAATTATTTAGGCCCCACATTAAACGCTTAACTGGTGCGATGTAACAGAGGAACCCTAAACCCTAAACCCTAAACTCTAAACTCTTTTGGACTCAGGGCCTTGTTTTCGTATATCGACATGTGGGTGGTTCTCTAAAGTAGGGTCCCTTTCTAGGTCCCCAAAATAGTACACACCCTTATAAGAAGGATCTGGGACCCCTTCAACATTCCCGTCTACTTTCCTGCCCCGAACCCTGAGCCCTAAGTCCCGAACCTTAAACTTCCTTAATCCAAAACCCTGAACCACAAAACAAACAACCCTAAACCCTAAACCCTAAACCCCTATTAAACACTATACCCAAAGCCCTGAACCCTAAACGCAACAGAAACCTCAGACCTGATCTTGCATATACTCACCAACGCTTTTTTGCCTACCGGTACGCCTGCCCTGAATTTAAGCATGTGGTTAAGTACTGTATTTGGCTCCGAAGAATAACCCATCTCATCCTGTGATAGTTCTCTTTTTATGTGTATATACATATATATATATATATATATATATATGTATACAAGAAGACACATTGGCAGCTCTCTAGCTTAGGGTCCCTTCTAATGTTGTGCGTTGAAATAACAAAGAATACTCCGTAGGGTGCAGGTTGCTCAAACCCTCTCTTTTTAAGTGAGCCAACCAAGTGGACATATCCCAAACCCTAAACCTAAACCCTCAACCCTAAACCCCGACCCTAATACCCCAGGCCCTAAACCCTAAACCCTGACCCTATAAACCCTGACCCTTCACCCTAAACCCTAAACCCTGACCCTGATACCTGAGGCCTTAAACCCTAAACCCTAAACCCTGACCCTGATACCTAAAGCCCTACACCCTAAACCCGAAACCCTGACCTTTCTTACCCCGGAGCCCCAACCCTGATTCCCAAACCGTAGACCTTCAACTCGAACATCGACTCTGCCTATAGTCGCCATTGCAGTCCTTCTTCAGGCTAATCTCGGGGCCTTAATAATTAAAACAGGATTTTGGGGCCCATTATACTGTAATTATATGAAGGAAGTCCAAGAATAGTATTGAGAATTATTTAGGCCTCTACATTACCTTATAGGATCCTAAAGTTGAAGACCACGGTTCATCCAAACAAAGGGGCCACAATGGAGGCTATTAGGGCCCCAAAAACCACATAAGCAAAAATTAGGATAGGGACATCCCATATAAACCCCCTTATAATGAAGCCCAATAAGGTAGGGATATACCTATAGAATGCTTATGCTTATGTGGGCTAAACCCTACACCCTAAACCCTAAACCCTAAACCCTAAAACCCTAAACCCTAAACCCTGAACCCTAAACCCTAAACCCTGGCCTCTCCGGCGGATGAGAAGAGACCGCTCATGCCAAAGAGTCCGCCTCCAGGATCTGTTCTCCACCAAAAGCCCAAGGGTTCAGGGTTCAGGGCTTGGTTAGGGTTTAGGGTTGGGGATTTAGGGCTTGGGGTTTTAGGGTTTAGGGTTGGGGCTTTAGGGTTATAAGTTATAAGTTGGGGTTTTAGGGTTTAGGGTTGGGGCTTTAGGGTTATAAGTTATAAGGGTCTTGGGGTTCAACACTTCAGGTTTGGGGTTGTAGGGTTTACGGTTTGGGCTTTAGGGCTTGCTTTGCAGTTCGAGAAGCTCCATGATATCATTGTTATTGCTTCAGATAACCCGAACCTTCCAGGTACCTACTATCTAGGGTACTAGAGCCCCTCGGGCCCTAAATAGTAGGTACCTGGAGGGTTAGGGTAATGTCGGGGCCTGAATAGTCAGAACCGACTTCTTGCGGCACATGCTGGCAGATGTATATACTCAATAATACTTTTCTAGAACATAAGTATAATACGAGGTCTATATATATAAGGGGCTACTCTTCTAGCATAAGTATAAGTATAAGGACTATAAGGAGATACTGTTCTAGTTAGTTCGATCCTCATGTTTACGGACTATAAGAGCCGGGATCCCTAGAATGTAGGAGCCCTCAATAATTAAAACCACTTCCGGGGAATACGATGTTAAAATCAGAGCAAGGATCCCTAAGGAACAGTACGGAGGGTTTAGGGTTTAGGGTTTCGGGTTTAGGGTAGATACTGACTACAGGAAGTTGTTGAAGCTCCCATATTACCCGCATTGCCCTATACAATCCAGGTGCCTGCGCTGCCTGCGGCCAGACTGCCGCCCGATGCCGCCGCTGCGCTGCCTGTGAGCACCCGAAGCTGGGGCAACAACCTCCTATTGGAGCGACTAGGGTTTAGGGCCTCCTATTGAAGCGATCAGGGTTTAGGGTTTAGGGTTGTAGTATAATATGCGGCATTAAAGCTTGAAGGGGGCCTTGTAGTTGAAGGCTTTTGGAGTGTCAGGGTCGGGACACCAAGCTACCGCAGTTGTGGTCTTCGGTCAGACAGGTTACCTGGCGTACTCACGGCTTACTGTGCCGGGGTTGAGTTTGAGGCGTAGGTGTGCTTGCATTCAATCGCATCTTTGGCGCAGGCGCTTGTGAGGGCGGCCGACCTACCGGATTGCCCTGTCGGTGCAACTAGCGGTTCTCGCCTTAGAATTGCACGTTGCACTGCAAGGCCTAGCTGTAGCACCAAACCCTACAAACTAGCATGTTACGGCCCCAGCAAAGTAGGGTCTAAGCCTTATGCAAGGCAGGTGATTGGCAGAGGTATACCTTCTTCCCTTCGAAACGAGACGAAGAAACGCAGAACCTACACAGGCCGGAATGTGAAGGCTGGGGGCTTTGCAGCAAAGGGGCCCATAATAGTCGGACCAGGGGCTTTGTAAGCTTTCTATGCACCCTGAACTAAACCTCAAACCTAAACCCTGAACCCTCAGCATATCAGGTAGCCCTTGGGAGGGTTATTGGCTATCGTTTGCCCCTTACAAAGTCTATCTTTTCCTGTCCATTGCAGGTGGTTCTTCCGACCTCCTCGTTTCTTGTCTGGCACAATGGACCTCAGGCTTTGCGAGCGATGTATCCATAGGGATACTTCAAGGATACTATAAAAGACACTATAAGGTATCTTTAGAGTTACAAGAAGGTCATTGTGAGGGTTTAGACTTGAGTGTCCAGCAAGTCGTGAGGGCTGTTGCTGGCGCGCTGTTTTGTGGAGTTATCAAACGAAGAACGTCGACACAGACTATGAGTGCGAAGCCATGGATTCTATTTAAGGTTGCGGGCTGCAGGGCTCAGGGCTTTAAGCTTCCCTGCGATTCCATTCGTTTAAGAACAAAAGGGTGCCACTGAATCGAAGTGTTTTGGTTTGTGGAGCCAAGGAACGTCGGAACGTCATGGTACTTTTTTACACTAGGCCGTCGTGTGTGTTTAGGCATAGACTCGCTCAAAAACACGTTGTCAGCTATCTACGCTGGCAGCTATCTCCTCCCCAAACCCTAGACCGGCCCCTAAAAACCCTACAGGCCAGGAAGGCGATGTTTCCTTTTCCGTGACATGGCTTGAACCCGGCTAACCGAGAAGAATCATCGCCTAAGGTCCCATGTGCTCATGAGGTGATACAGTATAGACACCGGCATTGGTAATCCTGTATGCGATGTCCTTGTTGATAGCCGTGTTCGAAACGGTTTACAGAAGGGTTCAGGGTTTAGGGCAGGATCCGTTTTGCTTTTGTTCTCGGCTGGCTGTACATCGCTGAGTGTCGCTGGTACCCTCCCCACCCGTCTACATACTGGTGCGCAGTGTCTGAGAAGCCAGCCAAGGAGGTTGTGATAATGCAGGGGCCATAATAACGAGAATAGGGTTTTGGGCTCCTCTGTAGTATACTATGAAGAAGGCACCCTGAGGATAAAATATTGGTAATTATTTAGGCTTCCATGTTAGTTTAAGTCTTCGGGTGTTCGGCTTCAAAACGAGACAAAAGACTCTCACGACCGCCAGCCCTAAACCCGAAGTCCTGAACCGGTCCTAAGGCTGAACAGTAGACAAGACCTTTGTAGCCCCTAGATCCCGAATTCTTAACCCTAAATCCTAAGTATAAGTCCTAATATAGGGCCCGAATAATACCAATACTGTTTGGGGGTGTTCTTTATTATGAGTATAGTATAGTATACCCTAAAACCCTATTCTAATGTTTAAGGCCCTTTAGTACTTAAGTCCGAAACCTCAACTCATACTTCCTCATCCCCCAACCCCCATGCGCTCAGCCGGATAGCGGTGGCGGCATCAGCAATCGCTCGTCTTCCCCGCTGGCAGCAGCCCCGTCGACGCTGTCGACTGCAGGACGGTTTAGGGTTTAGGGTCGGAGTGGACGAGTCACTACAAGGGCCTGAGGGTTCTTTTGCGAACAGTACCTATCGTCTCCATTGGAGTTCCTGTTTTGTTTAACAATTTCTATAGGACTGCAATGGAGACCATAGGTAGTCAGCAAAACACTCATACTGTAGGGGCCTTAGTACTTAGAATAAGGTTTTGGGGGCTCCTTATCACAACTATAGTAGAGTATACCTCCAACCCTATTCTAATAACTAAGGCCGCTAAAATTAGCACCCAAATCCTGCTAGCAGTACTAGAACCCCCCTTAAATCAGAAAAGCACGGCGGTTGTTGCCTGAACCGGAGGACGCCACAGCCACACCAAAGGAGCTGCGGTTGCCGAAGGTGGGGGTGTCGATCTCCTGCTTCCATAAAGGGCTTCAGGTTTATGTAGGTTTAGGGGTTACCTGGGCCCTAAATCATCCACCGTCTTATGAACTTATAGAAGGAAATCCTAATAAGGAGCCCTAAAAAGGTAGGTTTTGCAGGGTCAGATTCTCTTCAAAGGAGTTACTGCAGCACACTATCGCGGCCACAACAATAAACTGAAATGCTTGGGGCATACAGTATAATTAAGGCCCATATCTCGCATTCCTAAAGAAGATTGCAGAATTCGAAGAACAACAAAAACGAATCTCGTGTTGACAGGCTGCGTCTGCTTTCTGGGTTCGTACTAACTACGAGTCCTGCGGGTTCCTGACTACAGTCATACTATGACGGTTCAGGGTTTAGGGTTAGAGCTCCTTACCATAACCATAGGAATGTATGCATCCAAGACCTTACTCTAATCAACAAGCCCCGTAGTACAGCATCCCGACGCCCAAGCCGAGCAAGTCTCCGACGGGCGCACTTCGCCAGTCAGATCCAAAGCACCCCTGGCACAAGCCGGCTACGGAAAGGCATGAGCATATAGCCACAAATAGGGTTTCGTTTAGGGTCTAGGTGCAGAATGGGGCTTTTGTGGTTGAGGGCTTGGGGTGTCGGATTTTCGTTCTTGGCAGAATTCGACGTCCAGTGTGCATAACCGCTTTGCTTTGCTAGGTAGCTCTGCAGAAACCCTGCCAATGAAAACCCCAACCCCCTAAGCCCTCCGAAGGCACAATGAAACGGCATCTGGCAGCAACCCTACTCCCCGAAGCCATATTCCAGACCTTATAAGGTTCTGTTTCCAATAAAGGCTCCTAAACACCCGCCTAAACCCTAAACCCTAAACAGGATCCGTTTAAGGCGTTGTAATGTCAGCGAACATTGAGGCGACATGGGGCTTACGCTGATGGTCTGCCTGGCTAAAGTCTGATTACCCAGCGGATTCAAGTATTCCCGGTTATTGGAGTCATCTGAGGGTACCAAAAAATCTAAGTAACATAGAGGCCTTAATCTTTACCGGTACTATTTTGGTGGTTTTTTATTATAGGAATTATAGGTATAATATACTCAACCAGAGCCCTATTCTAACTATTAGTTAAGGCCCCTATATTAAGGACTTCTTGGAGCCCTAGGCTCACCCGGATAAAAAGCAAAGCGCTGGCAGAACCGCAGATGTCGTCTTGGTGTTTACGGCTTATGGTAGATTCTTAGATTGCATCTCATCGCTTTGAGTGGGCGCTGATTTGAAGTGGACTGTTTAGTCTATTTGACCTACTCTGTGCCGTAAACAGGTGATTGTGTTCTCGTTCTCCACCAGTTGCATGTTGGCCAGGACAATATCGTATTTGGTGAGTGTGCTATCGTGTTTCATGGAAGCCACTCGTTCTCAGATATGAAGCGGCACTCTGTCCTTGCTAATAAAGTAGCGGCACAGAACGCAGCGCATCATTTGGTAATTTGGGCTTCGGGTGTAGGGTTTAGCGTTTGGGGTTCAGGATTCAGGATTTTGAACGAATCCTGCGTGGCCTTCGGGATTTTGGACGTAACAGCAAGCCGAAAAGGATGGGTTCCCGATGCGGCCTATCCAAAGCGAGATGATCCGTCCGCTTGACGGGCTTTCGCGGCAGCTGGGCCTCTTGTTAGAGCCACTCCCTCCGCTAAGGCCATCGAGAGGAGGGCGTGATAATTGGATATATAGGCTGTGCGAGGTATACAGTATAGACAGGCATAAGCAAACATAGAAAAAAACGTTGACCATACGTACATACATACATACATACATACATACATACATACGTACGTACGTACGTACGTACGTACGTACGTGCATACACACATGCATGTATACATACATGCAAACATACAAACCGACAACAAAACAAACAAACATACATGCATACATACNNACATACATGACATGACATACATACATGCATATATGCACCGAGCACAGCCAGTGGTAACGTCTCTTCAAAATACGTGCATACATAGGTAGAGATCGCAATATGTGCATACATATGTAGAGATAGACAGACAGGTAGATGGACAGATAGTTAGACAAACAGAACAGGCAGATAGGTAGCTACATGTTGAGGATCAAGGAAGTTGGGGGAGGGACTTCAGGCCCTAGAACTGAGCGCTTAGGGTTTAGGGTTTGAGCATCCAAGCAGAAACCACTATCCTAGACCCCACTACCCCTATAAAGCCTAAACCCATAATTGCCATAATTGTTAACAACTTTGGTCAGGGACGTTCAGGTTCCCTGAAGTGCGTCGGTCTAGTTAGCCCCCACACCCCGAAAGGACTAGAACGTTCTTTTGCACCGCCGAGGATGAGTTACATAGACTCGTTTTCGCTCATACCAGAGGTCCTTTGAAACCCAACCCTAAACTGTTAAGCCATAAGTCTTGAACAAGTCTTTGCTTTGCGGCCCTAGATGCAGGCCTGAATGAACAAAAACAACACACGAAGACCAGACTGTTCGCTGGGGACGCGTGTGGCTGCAATTTGGTTTACAAAGCCCCCCCCCCCCCCCCCCCAAACGGCCTTCTCCGCACAAAGCTTGGCGAAGAGAGATTTCCGCAGGCGCTGAACGGGACCCTAACCAAGCAATGCGATGATGCAAACTCGTCTGTTTCCGGTCACAACAACAAGACAATATAGGATAGTTTCAGGTAAGATAAGTTGAAAACCCTGAGCCTTAAACCCTGTAGGCTAAGGCAAATCTGCCCTCCTGGTTGATCTCCCGCCCAAACCCTAAACCCTAAACCCGTCAAGTCAGAGCAGTCTAGGGTTCTCAGTTGAGGGCTTAATGTACACCAATGCTTGATCACAGCCCCTCTCCCACAGAAAGGATTCTGAGGTTTAGGGTTTAGGGTTTAGGGTTTAGGGGGATTCTGAGCGGGATGAAAAAGATCGGAGCTTTCGATCAGAGGGGGTTTACTCCATCTAATCAACTTCTACCATGAAGCAAAGTTGGTACGGCCCAGAGGCAGTAAAGCCCTGAATCCTTTGCTCGAAATGGCAGGTCCTCCTTCACCGAGAAAGAAGCTTGAGAAGCCTTAATCTCATAGCCCGCGAATACCAAAAACAACGACAAGCACGGAATCGAAATGCGTAACACTATTTCTCCACCCACTTCTGCACCCCAACAACTGAATCCCAACGAGAGCCCAAACCCGGTAACCTCAAAGGCACTCCTGCCAAGGAAATCCTGAGCCCGATTCCTACACGGCACCTCGACCAAAACCGAGCCCAACCTTACAACGACCCGAAACACGCAGGTCATCCCACAGCCGCAGATACGCGAACACAGGGCCACAGTTTAGAGGTTTGGAATTAGGGTTTGGGGTTTAGGGTTTAGGGATTGGGGTTTAGGGATTAGGGTCTGGGGTTTCGGGTTTAGGGATCTCGGAGTTTAGGTTTGCAGGTCGTTGTGGATCTGGGTCTTGTGCTCCAGGGCTTCCCCCAAAGCCCACGACCTGTTAACTAGCAAAGGACCTTCAACTTAGGGCTTATAGGGTTTAGGGTTTAGGGTTGCAAAATCCCGGTGAATGCTTTAATTCCTTAAACCATCGGTATTGGGCCCTCCCTGTCCGGGTTGCAAATTCCTCAGAAAGACATGTGCTGTTGTGTTGTTGATTAAGAGTTTAGGGTTTAGGGTTTAGGGGAAGCCGTTTCCTCCTTTGCCGGCCTTGTATTCAGCCGCCGCCATGTTAGCCTCAGCACGAGCGTGGAACCCTGCTTTTTGGTTGTGGCATTGCTTATGACGGTTCCAAACCATGAGGCATTCTGCGAAGCAACATGACAACAGTTCAAATCCCAACAGAAGACCCTATCAAGACCCTAGCTATAGTCTCCATTGTAGTTCCTTCTTGGGGCTACCTTATAGGATCCAATATATGTTAGATCCCTTGAATGAACCCATCTAGATCCCTACACGAATCCTTTCTGGATTCCTTAACGCAACCCTTATAGATCCCTTTAAGAGAAGCCTAAGAGATTCCTTTCTAGAGTCCTTAAAGCAACCCTTATAGATTCCTTGAAGAGAAGAACCCTAAACCCTAAACCCTAAACCCTGAACCCCCTAAAACCCTAAACCCCTTAATTTTAGGGACTCTAATACCCTATAAGAGTGACTGAAGCTGAGAGGCTGTAGAGGAGAGTAGCAGCTATGACTCCTCTGACTGCACTGCAACCTGTAGTCTGGGTTCTTGTTAAGGGATTTAATTTAAGTTACCATAATAAGGAAACCATAAGGAAACCATATTATTTACTGTAGATCCCTATCATGGTAACTTAAATTAAATCCCTTAACAAGAACCCAGTAGTGTTCTGGAGGATGCAGCTCGGCACAATGAGCCGGAGAGGCCTTGTAGGGTTTAGGGTTTAGGGTTCACAGTTTAGGGATTAGGGTTTAGGGTTCACAGTTTAGGGATTAGGGTTTAGGGTGCACAGTTTAGGGATTAGAGTTTAGGGTTTAGGGTTCACAGTTTAGGGATTAGGGTTTAGGGTGTGGGGTTCACAGTTTAGGGATTTGGGTTTAAACTCAAAGCCCCAATTTCCTAGGCCCTGATCCCGAAACCCTAAGAAATGTTGAAGGCTCATATTGCTCTCACATCGGTCACTACAACACGACTTGCACAAGCGCTGCCGATTTCGTTAAACAGAATTGTAAGCCACTCTAAAGGTTTAGGGCCTATGGTTTAGGCTTTAGGACTCTAAAGTGCGTAGACGCATACCCCCGCGCTCTGCTCTCGCAGCACCGAGGGCCGGACAACGGCAGAGTCGCGGCCCAGGCTTTCGCGCGAAAACCTGCTTAATGTGCGAGCTCAATTCGCGCTTTGAAAGTGCTTGACTTTATCGGTACAAATACTTTCATGATTGTGCAACTTCATGTAACCGTATAGAGGCATGTATGCATGCACTCATATATGTATGTATCTATGTATGTATGCATACATGTGTATGTATAGCAGTATGTATCATATACACCAATTGCTACGTAACGATATGACTTCTAATCGACGCTCTGCAATGCCATGGCTCACGGGAGCCTGTTGTCCCATCCAAGAAATTCCAACGGCGGCTATAGACATTGCGTCTGCGCAGGATTGATCGTACCTGTGGCCTAAAATACCTACCCTTTTGAAGGAAGTGTGTATATATTATATATACATATATGTATATTTATATAGAAACCATAGTAAGGAACCCTAAGAAGGTAGGTGTTTTCGGCTACAGGTAAGGGCTCAAGAACCCAACAAACATGTACTCTCTGACCTACATCACTACTATCCTAGAGCCGAATACCTAGTGACTGAGTCCTTGGGAAGTGTAGGGTTGGAGTTCGCGGATTGCTTCTGTTGTCCATAAACCCTAAACCCTAAACCCTCAACCCTCAACCTTCAACCCCAAACCCCATAACCTGTTTCTTCCGGCGTTTTGAACCCGGCCCCAAACAGGAAACCTGAAAACTCAAGCCGGCTCTACGAATAATGACACTAATAATCAAGACACTAGAATAATCACAACAATAGTAATTACTAGCCCTCCAGGTACCTACTATAAAGGGCCCTAGGGGCTCTAGTACCCTCTATAGTAGATACCTGGGGGGTTAGGGTAATTACAAAAAATGTGTAATCACATAATACCAACAGCAATAATAACGTCGACAACTCGACAAGACTTCCCTGCGAAACCTCCTGGGGGCTGCCGCTTGGGCGGTGCGCGCACGCTCGCAAAGGCTGATCGCGCGTTCATTCCTCGGAGCGTGTCTGGTGTGGCTACTGTCGGGACCTTATAATTAGAAGAGGGTTTTGGGGGTATTTAATACAATTAATTAAATAAGGACCCCCGACAAAAACTAGTAATAGGTAATTAGGTAATTATTAAAGGCCCCGATATTAATCACTAGGGTTTAGGGTATAGGGCTTTGGGGCTTGAGGCTTGGGTTTTCCACTTCGGGCTTGGGGGGTGTATGTTTGGGGCTTCTGAGAATGTGTGCTCCAAGGTTGCGGGTTTGGGCTTTGGGGTTTGGGGTAGGGTTTATGCAGGGCTATGATATAGAATCAAAGGTCCACGTACCTATTAAAAGTGGTTCCTCTACAGGTTCCAGTCTGGAATCTTCACAGGGTTTTCTTTCGGGTGGTGTACAGGCATATCCCTAAACTCTAACCCATATTTACCATAGCGTATAGGGTCCATATATTACGAGAATTTACGAGATACAGTTTCTCTCAGGGATGCACGTTCCAGCTTTCAAGGCATCGACAAGGGGCTCCCTCAACCCTAAGCCCATGATTTTTGGGGTTAGGGCTTAGTTTTTAAGTGTGAAACCGCATGGCTTGCAGGTGAACGGCCTCTGAGCAGGATGCTCGTTCCTAAACCCTAAACCCAGTAAGCTCCGGTCATGTTTCCAAGGGCACTTTCAAGGAAGTCCTTTCGGGCATTGCTTGAGCTTCTCAGGTTTAAACCCCTAAACCTTAAACCTGCAGCATTTCTTCTCCGTCTCGTGATGCTTGCAATTTCCCCTGGTCCATGTACCCGGAAAATACGTCCTTTGGCCTCGAATGGCTTCCAAAAGCGGTGCTAGGACCAAAGTCTGCACTATGTGTATATTCATGTACAGTCAGTTTAAACTAGACAGTTGGACCTTTATGGTAATTCGGGCAGTTGCAGCGGCAACAAGGTGTAGCACTAAGACGCCGGCAGCTGCAAAGATCTGAGCTGCACCGACTGGGCCTGCGACATCATGCGGGCTCCCGGGTCCCGAAAAGGCTGCGCCCCAAACCTTCAGAAAGTCTGTGAAGAGCCTGCACAGGAGCACTCTGAAGTACCATCATACTCCTATTCCTCTGGCACAGCGGATGAGCACAATGCTGGTCGACCTGAACATTCAAGACACTGGAACCCGGATAATGGACCCATTGTTCCTATAAAGCCTAGAAAAGGGCTGAAGAGCCCAAATTCGTTTCTTCCGAAGTGGGGCCTGCTGTTGGAGAAACCAGCCGCGATCATCTTCCTTGTCCTGCATTGCCCGACTGTGCGTAGACCGTAAAAGAAGAAGTGAGAACTCTATCTCGGCTGAAACTATGAGCTCCTCAACTGAAGCCCTATAAACCTGACAACCCTAAACCCTAAACCCTAAACCCTGTTCCAGGAACACTGAACTCCACTGGCACAAGGTGTCGCCGCCTTCGCGATTACGCTGTGGGGGTCGGGAATGGCGCGAGCATATTTTGGGTGCAAAAGGCTTTAACACAGAGGTAGTGAGTAGCCCTAAGCCCTAAACCCTGAAACCTGAACCCCTATCCCGAGTAGTGACTAGAAACCCCAAAGAAGGGCACAAGTTCCTTGCCTAGACTATGGGGTAATTAACAGCTCAATAAACCCCAAAACCCTAAACCCTAAACCCTAAACCAAAACCGCATTCTAACAATTGCGGCAGCTGTTCATGCACCGGAACACCAAAGAGTCCCACCCAGAGACCCCTAAAGTTTAGGGTTTAGGGCTATAGGGTTTAGGGCTTAGAGTTTAGAGTGGAGTTTTCGGAAATAAGGGGTATCCTATTTTTGGGGGTCCACATAATAAGGAACCTACTATGTAGGGTACTATACTAGGGTTTCTGAATTGCACCCAACAAGCCCTGAAAGGCCTAACATCGCAGTCCTTCGACGGGTGCTGAGGCTCGATTTGTTTCGGTGCCGGCCGTCGGTTGGCCTTCGAGCTACTTAGGGCTTCATGGGTTCAGGGTTCTGCGGCTTTTGGGGGTGGAGGGTGAATCTTGGGGCGGCCGTGAGTTTTAGAAGAGGGCTTTGGGATAAATAGAAACGGTAGGACCTCGAACGACTGGCAGCCTATATACATACATGCATTGATGCACGTACACACGTATATTAACTCTCTGCCATTGCCTCTGCCCTGGCGGTGGAAGAAAGCACCATTCTAACAATCAAAGGCTGTATCTTAAGTCACTATACACCACTGTAAAACCCTGACCAACCCTACATGAAACACACCGCCACACCCCTAAACCCTATACCCTAAGCCCTAAACCCTAAACCCCAAAACCCTAAAACCTAAACCCTTAACCCAATTCCGAAGGCCCCATACTAAAGCACAAGCTAAACAAGCAGGCCGGATCCGAAAGCCTCAGCGACTGCCTCACCCAGAGGTATGCCTCACCACAGGCGGTTTGGGGGCTTAGGGTTTAGGGTGGTTTAGGGCTTAGGGTTTAGGGGCTTATGGTTTAGGGTGGTTTAGGGTTTAGGGGCTCAGGGTTTAAGATTTTCGGCTTATCCAGTATACATGAAACATCTCGAAAATTGCTGGCGCGGGCTTCTGTCATTCGGCGCTGAAGATGATAATGAAGATGAGGGCGACGAGGATGCTGATCATCTCATGGCGATGATGATGACTATGTTGATTTCGATAGTGGTACAGCTGCTACTGGTGACGAAGATCCTATCAAGGGTGATGTTCTTGATGCTGTAGCACTGTAGCTGATTCAGGTTGCTACGGTGGTGAGCACGACGATGGTCATGAGCATCATCATGGCTCTCGACCTGGCCATAGTGAGCATGCTGCTCGTGATGATGACGACCATGGTGATGATGATGATGATGAGGAGTACGAGGCGAAGGAGGAGGAGGAGTAGGAGGGGGAGCCGGAGGAGGAGAAGAGGAGGAGGAGGGTGATGATAAGGTCGGTAGTGCTGGCATGGCACCACTCTGTGCCCGATGCAATCTGCATGATATCTTACTACTACTCTAATGCCCTTCACCTACGAGCTTCTGGGCAACAGGCTACAGTATCGAAGCAACACGACGCAAAGATGCGGGAACGAGCTTGCCCCCCAGACCCTAGCCCGCAAACCCTAGTCGGGTTTGGCAGTAAATCCAGAACACTATCCGAGCCACGGGAGAAGGACAAAACTATAACAATGGGCGATATTGACGAGTCTTTTAGAAAAAATGTTGTGCAAAAAAGAAAGCCGGTAGGTCAAAACAGTTTTATCGGCCCTCATTCCGCTTATCAATATCAAATGGATTTGTCTTTTACAAACGATTTGAAAGCACAAAAGTTTAAGGTAGGTGTTTTGATGATTGATGTATTTGATAAGCTTATGCATGTAGTGCCTACAACAAGCAAACAAGAGGGAGACGTAGCGAGTGGAATGATTGAGTGTTTAAACAAGATGGGTAAGAAACCTGATATAATTTTTACTGATGATGAAGGAGCATTGAACAAGGAGGCAATACAAAACTGTTTGAAAGATGAAAACACAGAACATCACCGAACGAGGGCACATCCAAATTTTGGCGAACGAGCCATCAGGACATTCAAATGGGTGGTTGTCAAAATTATGGCCCCTTTTTGGGTCCTTATTATAATACGGCACCTATTATTTAGGGTACCCAAATTGGGACCATAATTTTGACAGCTACCCAAATATTTATTGTATAGCAGGGTTGAAGCCGATGAAAAGAAGGGGAAGCAAAACATACAATGGGTTTAGGGTTTAGGGTTTAGGGGACGGATTACATATTTGAGATACTGCTAACATACAATAACAGGATGAAGCACTCTGCCACGGGATTTACGCCGAAAGAAGCCCGAAAACCCAGTAATCAATTCAAAATGAAACTAAATTTAACGATGAAGGGAAAGAAGAACCGCGTTTATCCCGAACTAGATGTAGGAGATGAGGTTAAAATATTTAGGAATCGAAAACCAAACGAAAAAGAAAGAGTGGGAAATTACAGCCAAAATACTTATACAATAGAAAGTATTGAAAATAAGTTAGGTCAAAATGATTATAAGGTTGAGGGCAACGATAGGCAGTATGTGTGGTTTGAATTGCTGCATGCTTGAGGGTGGTTGGACCGCTATCCCACGCTGGTACTCATACGATTTCAAGATTTCCAACTTCTGGTTCTGGGCTTGGACTTGTGGGGCCAACAGGGCTTGCCATGCTGGTGAAACTGCTATGAATAGTTCAAAGAGACTAAGGCTGACTAAGGTCACCTTGGCACTCGGTATCACTTTTTCTGCGTGATCAGCGGCATCACACTGCCCATCTTTATTCAATCCGAAACAGATGAGCCGACCATCTGCCCGCACTGCACAAGTATGATAGAAGCCAGCTGCGACAGCCAAAACGGGTCCCAAATCTGCTGGCGCATCACACTGCCCCCCTTCATTCCATCCAAAACAGATGAGCCGACCATCTGCCCGCACTGCACAAGTATGATAGCCGTTAGCTGCGACAGCCAAAACCGGTCCCAAACCTGCTGGCACATCACACTGCCCATCTTTATTCAATCCAAAACAGATGAGCCGACCA